TTAAAGTAGAGACACTTCATACTGATATACACCTGAACATCAGCAGGAGAGGACTCTTTAAAGTAGAGACACTACATACTGATATACACCTGAACATCAACAGGAGAGGACTCTTTAAAGTAGAGACACTTCATACTGATATACACCTGAACATCAACAGGAGAGGACTATTTAAAGTAGAGACACTTCATACTGATATACACCTGAACATCAACAGGAGAGGACTCTTTAAAGTAGAGACACTTCATACTGATATACACCTGAACATCAACAGGAGAGGACTCTTTAAAGTAGAGACACTTCATACTGATATACACCTGAACATCAGCAGGAGAGGACTCTTTAAAGTAGAGACACTTCATACTGATATACACCTGAACATCAACAGGAGAGGACTCTTTAAAGTAGAGACACTCATACTGATATACACCTGAACATCAACAGGAGAGGACTCTTTAAAGTAGAGACACTTCATACTGATATACACCTGAACATCAGCAGGAGAGGACTCTTTAAAGTAGAGACACTTCATACTGATATACACCTGAACATCAGCAGGAGAGGACTCTTTAAAGTAGAGACACTTCATACTGATAAACACCTGAACATCAGCAGGAGAGGACTCTTTAAAGTAGAGACACTACATACTGATATACACCTGAACATCAGCAGGAGAGGACTCTTTAAAGTAGAGACACTACATACTGATATACACCTGAACATCAGCAGGAGAAGACTCTTTAAAGTAGAGACACTACATACTGATATACACCTGGACATCAGCAGGAGAGGACTCTTTAAAGTAGAGACACTACATACTGATATACACCTGAACATCAGCAGGAGAGGACTCTTTAAAGTAGAGACACTACATACTGATATACACCTGAACATCAGCAGGAGAGGACTCTTTAAAGTAGAGACACTACATACTGATATACACCTGAACATCAGCAGGAGGACTCTTTAAAGTAGATACACTACATACTGATATACACCTGGACATCAGCAGGAGAGGACTCTTTAAAGTAGAGACACTACATACTGATATACACCTGAACATCAGCAGGAGAGGACTCTTTAAAGTAGAGACACTACATACTGATATACACCTGAACATCAGCAGGAGAGGACTCTTTAAAGTAGAGACACTACATACTGATATACACCTGAACATTAGCAGGAGAGGACTCTTTAAAGTAGAGACACTACATACTGAGCAGGAGAGGACTCTTTAAAGTAGAGACACTACATACTGATATACACCTGAACATCAGCAGGAGAGGACTCTTTAAAGTAGAGACACTTCATACTGATATACACCTGAACATTAGCAGGAGATAACTCTTTAAAGTAGAGGACACTCATACTGATATACACCTGAACATCAACAGGAGAGGACTCTTTAAAGTAGAGACACTTCATACTGATATACACCTGAACATCAACAGGAGAGGACTCTTTTAAAGTAGAGACACTTCATACTGATATACACCTGAACATCAACAGGAGAGGACTCTTTAAAGTAGAGACACTTCATACTGATATACACCTGAACATCAACAGGAGAGGACTCTTTAAAGTAGAGACACTTCATACTGATATACACCTGAACATCAGCAGGAGAGGACTCTTTAAAGTAGAGACACTACATACTGATATACACCTGAACATCAGCAGGAGAGGACTCTTTAAAGTAGAGACACTACATACTGATATACACCTGGACATCAGCAGGAGAGGACTCTTTAAAGTAGAGACACTACATACTGATATACACCTGAACATCAGCAGGAGAGGACTCTTTAAAGTAGAGACACTACATACTGATATACACCTGAACATCAGCAGGAGAGGACTCTTTAAAGTAGAGACACTACATACTGATATACACCTGAACATCAGCAGGAGAGGACTCTTTAAAGTAGAGACACTTCATACTGATATACACCTGAACATCAGCAGGAGAGGACTCTTTAAAGTAGAGACCACTACATACTGATATACACCTGAACATCAGCAGGAGAGGACTCTTTAAAGTAGAGACACTTCATACTGATATACACCTGAACATCAACAGGAGAGGACTCTTTAAAGTAGAGACACTTCATACTGATATACACCTGAACATCAACAGGAGAGGACTCTTTAAAGTAGAGACACTTCATACTGATATACACCTGAACATCAACAGGAGAGGACTCTTTAAAGTAGAGACACTTCATACTGATATACACCTGAACATCAGCAGGAGAGGACTCTTTAAAGTAGAGACACTTCATACTGATATACACCTGAACATCAGCAGGAGAGGGACTCTTTAAAGTAGAGACACTACATACTGATATACACCTGAACATTCAGCAGGAGAGGACTCTTTAAAGTAGTAAGACACTACATACTGATATACACCTGGACATCAGCAGGAGAGGGACTCTTTAAAGTAGAGACACTACATACTGATATACACCTGAACATCAGCAGGAGAGGACTCTTTAAAGTAGAGACACTACATACTGATATACACCTGAACATCAGCAGGAGAGGACTCTTTTAAAGTAGAGGACACTACATACTGATATACACCTGAACATCAGCAGGAGAGGACTCTTTAAAGTAGAGACACTACATACTGATATACACCTGAACATCAGCAGGAGAGGACTCTTTAAAGTAGATACACTTACATACTGATATACACCTGAACATCAGCAGGAGAGGACTCTTTAAAGTAGAGACACTACATACTGATATACACCTGAACATCAGCAGGAGAGACTCTTTAAAGTAGAGACACTACAATACTGATATACACCTGAACATCAGCAGGAGAGGACTCTTTAAAGTAGAGACACTACATACTGATATACACCTGAACATCAGCAGGAGAGGACTCTTAAAGTAGAGACACTACATACTGATATACACCTGAACATCAGCAGGAGAGGACTCTTTAAAGTAGAGACACTACATACTGATATACACCTGACATCAGCAGGAGAGGACTCTTTAAAGTAGAGACACTACATACTGATATACACCTGAACATCAGCAGGAGAGGACTCTTTAAAGTAGAGGACACTACATACTGATATACACCTGAACATCAGCAGGAGAGGACTCTTTAAAGTAGAGACACTACATACTGATCTACACCTGAACATCAGCAGGAGAGGACTCTTTAAAGTAGAGACACTACATACTGATATACACCTGACAATCAGCAGGAGAGGACTCTTTAAAGTAGAGACACTACATACTGATATACACCTGAACATCAGCAGGAGAGGACTCTTTAAAGTAGAGACAATACATACTGATATACACCCTGAACATCAGCAGGAAGAGGACCTCTTTAAAGTAGAGACACTACATACTGATATACACCTGAACATCAGCAGGAGAGGACTCTTTAAAGTAGAGACACTACATACTGATATACACCTGACCATCAGCAGGAGAGGACTCTTTAAAGTAGAGACACTACATACTGATATACACCTGATCATCAGCAGGAGAGGACTCTTTAAAGTAGAGACACTTCATACTGATATACACCTGAACATCAGCAGGAGAGGACTCTTTAAAGTAGAGACACTACATACTGATATACACCTGATCATCAGCAGGAGAGGACTCTTTAAAGTAGAGACACTTCATACTGATATACACCTGAACATCAGCAGGAGAGGACTCTTTAAAGTAGAGACACTACATACTGATATACACCTGATCATCAGCAGGAGAGGACTCTTTAAGTAGAGACACTTCATACTGATCTACACCTGAACATCAGCAGGAGAGGACTCTTTAAAGTAGAGACACTACATACTGATATACACCTGATCATCAGCAGGAGAGGACCTCTTTAAAGTAGAGACACTCATATACACCTGAATAATTTTGACATCATAAAAGGATTGTTTGTTGATGCAGATCCCGTCTTTGTACCACTATAGTACAACAGATGTCCCCAGAGGAAAGACAACCAAACATAAAGTCAGTGCATTTGCCATTTTATGGTGTTTTCTAGAATGCTGTGAACTTTACTCTTTGCATAAATCTTGTTATTGGCCTGCATGCGATGACATCTCCTGTGTAATTAATCATAATGATAACCTGAGCAAACACACTTGGTGCAGCAGCAACAAGTCAAACAGCTCATGTGACGTATAAACAATATGTGCTCCATGTTAGCTTCATCCAGAGATTAAGAAGTTGTCAAACTGGCAGTACATGATTGTCGCGTAAATACTGAACTATGATAGAATAGTTACACCTCTTTAGCTGCGGTGATATTTGTCCTGTAGCAGCAGGAAGGTCAGGCTGCAGTCTGTGGAGATTCACAGTTGACCTGTTGAAAGTAAATGTATAGACTTCCTGTGACCTGGACTCTTTGTGCATTATTTACAAACTCCTTTGAAGTCGTACTGAAAGGTGAACAACACACGCTATTTATAACCTGAGTGTATAATAAATATACATTGTTTCTTCCTCCTCGTGTGCTCCCACGCCCAATCTGCTGAAACAATAGACGACGTGCTCCAGACCGAGACAAGTTTATCCTGGGAATATAAATAAAGTGTCTGCTTTGGAGACTTGAGCAGGAGTTTACAGGATGTGAGGTTAGCTAAACACACACACACACACACACACACACACACACACACACACACACACACACACACACACACACACACACACACACACCACACACACACACACACACACACCTTTTGCTACCTAAAGTGTTTTTTTAATGCTAATACGTTCGTTTTGTAAAGTAGGCTACTTACTTATGTGTACACTGTAGTATTACTACTTTTACTTAAGATAATAATCAGAGTACTTGTTCCACCTCTGGAAACTATTAATAAGCAGATTCATCGATAATGAAGATAATAAATGTTTATTAAAGTAATCCCCTGATCCTCTTCCTGCACCACCTGCAGCTAACAGAGCCACAGTTATTCCTCCGCGGTAAAGTAGACCCGCATTACCCAGCTGATGCCTCTGATGGTCGGGCTCTCCCCTGCGGATCGGTCCGGGAACACTCGGTAGTTGTGAGTCCGAAACAGATGCATCTTGTCTCAGATCCAAACTAGCGACGAACTACTTCCCCCGGCAGAATCCTCCGCAGCTCCAGACATTATCATTATTGTTATTATCATCGGGAAAAAAGTAGATCCTCCTCTCAGGGCTCAGGAGTGTGCTCAGGAGTCCGCATGATGTCCCTCTGAAGCCCGCAGGACTCTGCAGCTCAGACCCGGACCTGCCTCCTCCTCACTCTCACACACACACACACACACACACACACACACGTGCACACACACACACACACACTCATGGTGAGGAGGAGCGCAGTGTGCAGCCATCCGTCACACACACACGGGCGCGCTGCCGAGCTGCGAGTGCGCGCTTTTACACGCATCCTCTGGCATCTCAGCGACTAATTAATGTGTGTTTGATTTAATTACCTTGACATCGATGCATTGTGAGTCCGAGTGAAGGAACAAGTGCACACGTTGTCCGTTTTTTATTATTTATAAGATCTACAAGATTTCTTTGTAATTTGTAAATGTCAGTGATGATGAATGACAACATCAATTATTGATAATGATCAGAATAGTCTATTATGTTTAAATAATGATCCAAATATTTCTCTGAAAAAATAAAAGCCAGTAGATTTAAAAAATAAAATTGAATAAATAAATCCTGGTCAACAAAGAGGTGATTATTGTAAACAGATTTATTGTGGTGTTGTTTATTTTTTGAGGAATGATATCCTGTTATTGGAATTCTATTTATTTACAAAACATTTTAAAAATATCGTTTTCTAGAAAAAGTTACGCGAAAAAAGCCAAATTACATTAAAAAATATTGTGAATTTTAAATCATATTTTGAGCATTGCATTAAACATTACGCATTTTAAAAACTATCAATGCAAATACAATGGTTAGTTAAGATACTTGACTCTAATTCAGGCTTCATTACCAAGACACTTCAGATTATTAAGACACCACATATGGTAAAATGCAATTTTTTAAATATTAATTCGTAGTACAATTGCACATTTTTACGAATCACTTAAATGTTGCATGTCTGTTAAAATAGAGCATCTGAAAAACCAATTTACCCCTGGGATAAACTAAGTATTCTGATATGAAAGTTGTATATTTCCCTGCATTAAAAAATCATTTATCCTTTCTATAAATCCCTCCTCACGATGTTACACAGCTCTGTTGAACCTAAACACACACCTGTAACTTCACAACACTGAATCAAGGTCATTCAACGAGTATAATGTTCCTAGACTGCACACACACTTCATACACACACACACCCCCGTATCAGGCTGTGCAGCTGTAGCTCTGTGAGAACAGGGACTCTCAGATAAAGTTCTTGAAGGGCAGGAACAGTTTTTATTTTAGAGAACAGCGACAGCGTCTCATCAGGAATGTGTTTTAAAGAGTCCTCTACTGCTGATGTTCAGGTGTATATCAGTATGTCGTGTCTCTACTTTAAAGAGTCCTCTCCTGCTGATGTTCAGGTGTATATCAGTATGTAGTGTCTCTACTTTAAAGAGTCCTCTCTGCTGATGTTCAGGTGTATATCAGTATGTCGTGTCTCTACTTTAAAGAGTCCTCTCCTGCTGATGTTCAGGTGTATATCAGAATGTCATGTCTCTACTTTAAAGAGTCCTCTCCTGCTGATGTTCAGGTGTGTATCAGTACGTAGTGTCTCTACTTTAAAGAGTCCTCTCCTGCTGATGTTCAGGTGTGTATCAGTACGTAGTGTCTCTACTTTAAAGAGTCCTCTCTGCTGATGTTCAGGTGTATATCAGTATGTAGTGTCTCTACTTTAAAGAGTCCTCTCCTGCTGATGTTCAGGTGTATATCAGTATGTAGTGTCTCTACTTTAAAGAGTCCTCTCCTGCTGATGTTCAGTGTATATCAGTATGTAGTGTCTCTACTTTAAAGAGTCCTCTCCTGCTGATGTTCAGGTGTATATCAGTATGTAGTGTCTCTACTTTAAAGAGTCCTTCTGCTGATGTTCAGGTGTATATCAGTAGTAGTGTCTCTACTTTAAAGAGTCCTCTCCTGCTGATGTTCAGGTGTATATCAGTATGTAGTGTCTCTACTTTAAAGAGTCCTCTCCTGCTGATGTTCAGGTGTATATCAGTATGTAGTGTCTCTACTTTAAAGAGTCCTCTCCTGCTGATGTTCAGGTGTATATCAGTATGTAATGGCTCTACTTTAAAGAGTCCTCTCCTGCTGATGTTCAGGTGTATATCAGTATGTAGTGTCTCTACTTTAAAGAGTCCTCTCCTGCTGATGTTCAGGGTGTATATCAGTATGTAGTGTCTCTACTTTAAAGAGTCCTCTCTGCTGATGTTCAGGTGTATATCAGTATGTAGTGTCTCTACTTTAAAGAGTCCTCTCCTGCTGATGTTCAGGTGTATATCAGTATGTAGTGTCTCTACTTTAAAGAGTCCTCTCCTGATGATGTTCAGGTGTATATCAGTATGTAGTGTCTCTACTTTAAAGAGTCCCTCCTGCTGATGTTCAGGTGATATCAGTATGTAATGGCTCTACTTTAAAGAGTCCTCTCCTGCTGATGTTCAGGTGTATATCAGTATGTAGTGTCTCTACTTTAAAGAGTCCTCTCCTGCTGATGTTCAGGTGTATATCAGTATGTAGTGTCTCTACTTTAAAGAGTCCTCTCCTGCTGATGTTCAGGTGTATATCAGTATGTAGTGTCTCTACTTTAAAGAGTCCTCTCCTGCTGATGTTCAGGTGTATATCAGTATGTAGTGTCTCTACTTTAAAGAGTCCTCTCCTGATGATGTTCAGGTGTATATCAGTATGTAGTGTCTCTACAAGGCTCCATGCTTTAATGTTCAGAATGCTCGTATTTCTCATACTGCCTGTGCTGCAGCACCTCTTTTCACCCTCTGTCTGAAACCAGAGCCAAGTCCTGCTCTGATTGGTTAGCTGGCCGGCTCTGTTGTGACTGGTCAACCGCTTAGAGATGTCCCGCCCCTTAGCCTATCACGTACAATGTGTTGGAGCGCTAGCCAATAGGAGCGTGAGTCATGTCACTATATTCTGAAAGTAAACAAAGGAGACCTGTTACTGATTTTAAATATATATTTTTATTAATGGAAATTCCCCCTTCTAGTGTGGTGTGTGTGGTGTGTGTGTGTGTGTGTTTTGTGTGTGTGTGTGTGTGTGTGTGTGTGTGTGTGTGTGTGTGTGTGTGTGTGTGTGTGGGTGTGTGTTTTTGACTCACCCCTCCAGGTGTGCAGCGCCTCAGTGGAGAGCAGATAGATTTCACCAGGCTCTCCATCAGGGAGAAGTCTCGAACTGTGTGTGACATAAATGGGAGGCTGTGGCTTAGTGGGTTAGTACGCTGATCTTTCGAATCAGAGCATAGCAAGTTCGAGTCCCACTGCAGTCAGCATGTTGCTCCTGTGGGGATTGTCCACAGTATAGAGTATGTTAGTCGCTTTGGATAAAGCGTCTAACAAGTAACATGTAATTTTAATAAACAAGAAATAAAAACACATTATTTAAAAACCAAAGAAAAAAAACATAGGAATCCATTTGTCGAGCCGATTCTCACCCGAAGCAGATCGATGTGCAGACTGGTAAAATAAGGACAAGAGGCCACGCTGTGTTTAATGTGATTACTGCAGCCTGCATACAAAGGCAGCATTTGTGATATGCACCCAAAGCTACAGCGTACTTCTGGTCATTACACTCTGAAGTGTCCTCCAACAACGCAAGATACAAACTATATTTAACATGAATGACATACAATAGTGCAAAACACAAAAATGATTCAAGTTACATTATGGAGACTTTCATTTAATTTAAGTAACGTTTAATTAACACACTGTGAAGAAGAAGCCTTCATCACAGCTGGCATAGGGGCATGGTAAAAGGCACACTGAGGGAAACACATTAATAACTTACCTGGACATTGATAAAATAAAACCCAAGTCATTGTTTGTTCAAAACAGATTTATTGGAAGTCTTTTTGAAAGTAACCTGCTTACCCTCTCCTTCAAGGTTGTGAAGGCCAAACAGAGCAACAGAAAGAAGCAGCCTTAAGTAGAGGCTCAATCAGTGGGAACACCTGTGCTCAATTGGAGCATACCATGTGCATGGGCGCGGGTGGCACTTTTCTTGCGAGTGTAAAAATGTTATTATAAAACGGACAAGTCAAATCAAGCAATCTGATTGGTTCTTAGCCGTACTGAGCGTATACCACGGGTAGAATTGTAAGTTACTTTTCACAACAAGTCAGTATCCCTCCGCGTCTGAGTAAAACAGTATACAGTTGGCAGTTTGCTTTTCAAACTGGAACAAGAAAGCAGCGGTGTTACGTGCCGTAGTGTTTGTGTGGTCGTGGGTGTGTGTTTCTCTCTCTCCCTCTGACTCCCCAGGTGCAGCCTGATTGTCCCCAGGTGCAGAATCTCCCCAGGTGCTCCCAATCCTCAATCAGGGCTTCCATATAGGACCTGAGGAGGACGGCAGTGAGAGGCCTTTTCTCGCCTTCTCATCTGGCTGCATGTGTGCAGCATGTCTCTGTGTGAGACCCAGCATAGTTGTGTGTTTATGTAAGAGTGTTTTGTAATTTGGCTGGTGAGCCGCCTTACTTATTTACCAATTAAAACCTCACTTAAACTCCTTCAGCATTCAGTTTCCTCTCCTTTTTCTCTCGTCCGGCTATCTTGTGTGTCGCTACTTCCCTTGGTACCCCTAGATCTACAAGGGAACGTAACAAGCGGGAGAAAGTAACGGGGCCGCAGAAACCCTCTTTTTACGCAGCGTCCAGACATAGACATCAAACGGTCAAAACCATTAGGCCTATTCAGTGTGCAGTTCCTTTGGCATTATGGCAGGATATCTAGATACTTCCAAGGTTTTTGACATAATGAATTTAGCTACTTTTAAAGCAAGCAACAATGTTTTCAAATCTGTAATCAAAGAGGTCCGCAAAAACACTATCGACCAATCAGATTGCTTGATTTGACTTGTCAGTTTTATATATTTCCATTTATTCCGTAACGAAACAAACTTACAAAGCATAAAATGGAAACATTTAAGATGAACTTCGACCTCCGGCGGGGTCTTACTATGGAGGAGTGGATTGAGCAGTGCCTATCTCCAGAAAGCACCTAAACGACGACATGCAGAGCTACGTGAAGAGCAGGTAGACCAACTGGAGAAGTAGCACCATTCAAAAGCTTTCTGATGCGGGTCTTGAAACAAAGCAGAG